ATTCCTAGCCACCAGCTGAAGGGGAACTCTCAGGGGTAGCCATCTGCCAAAGGTAAGCTACCCAGAATAAACAATAAATGAAGCATCAAGATCCAAGAAAGTCTATCTCAGACTTTCAATAAAGAAGAAATCAATATCCAAGAAGTGAGCACAACAGGTGACTGAATTTCAGCAACACTAGGCTCAGCAGGTGCCTAACAAAGAAGCCCACTGCTACAACTTCCAATAACTCGGCAGGGTGACTACCAAACGAGCCCACATGATGATTGAGCTACAAATAAATGATTGCTAAAATACTACTTATTCTTCCAAGAGTATTCTATGCTTCACTTGCAAACTAGTTAACTCCAATTGACAAAGTCCTGAAACCAGATGACTTGACTGACTCTGAGAATCAGGTGGGATTTGTTCAATAAAAACAAATCAATATGGCAGAGACCGGTCAACGTTCTGAATAACAGAAGGAGATGTCCAAAAGGAGAATTAGCTATGATTCACGAGAAACTCTAGAAAGAAGAAAAGAAGTGAGAATTCGAACAAATGGCTCAGCAGTTGACTGCATCCTAGCAAGCAGTGGGCTCAGCAGGTGACTGACTACTAGCCCACTGCTACTTGTATAATGGAAGGAATTGCATATATATACTTTCTCAAAAAGAAGGAAAAAGACTAGAGAGAGAAGACACTGGCTCAAAAAATTCGCGCAGGTGACTGCCTCAAGAGCAGGTCACTACTCCAGGCCAGCAGTTGGGGACACATACCCCAACTCTTAAGAAAAGTCACTTGCTCATCACTCAAATTCCGAGCAGTAAGCTAAGTAGGTGACTGACTCTCGCAGCAGCAGGTGACTGCCTATGAGCCCACTCCTACATTCTCAAACACCATCAAAATCAAGGTGACTGCCAAAGCATATCCACCTTGTCACCCAGAGCACCTGTACTAGCCACAATAACCTCAGGAGCCTCACACAACTTCAATTTGTGTGCAAGGCAAACCAAGCTACAGGAAGAAATGGAGGAGGCAGCATCCTCTTTACAAACAGCAGTTGCCTCCCCTTTTGGCATAATCCAAGAGGAAGCAGAGACCTTTTCAAACTGCCAGCAATGACTCTGCTCTCCCACTTTCCATAACAAGCAAACAAGCAGGTGGCTCACCCAGTAGCAGAGTAGGCCACTTTAGTAAACAAGCAGGTGGCTTCCCATCTCAAGCAGTTGACTCACTCAAATTTACACCTCAAGAGAAACTAAAGGCAGACTTCATCAAGTCAAGCAATGGAGAAAATGGAAGCTGACCTAAAACTCTGGGACCATCAGTGGTATCCTGGACCATCAAATAACACGGCATATGCTCCATCATGGGAAGAAGGCGGTTCTAAGGGCAAATAGAAGAACATCAAGCTGCCTCTCAAAGAACAGCAGAAGGCTAAATTCTGGACCCACAAAGGCCCTTGAAATCCCTACATTTGGCTTCAAAACCACTTTGATCTTCTCAAGGAAGCAAATCCAGACAGAAAAGCAAGCATCAACTAAGGGGGAATGGATACAAAAAGCCATCTCAACAAGGAAAGAAAAAGGATGTCAAAAGATGAGAAATTCAGATCATGACTCAAACTCAGCAGCTGAAACAAAGAAACCTGATGTCACCAAATCAGGAAGTCATGATCATTGGAGGGAAAGAGGAACAAGTAGCTCAAACTGCAGGAAATATCAGCTACCAATTCAAAAAGGTACGATATTGATCCATAAAACTCAACAGTAGACTCATATATGGATTGAAAAAGGGAATACTACTACTCTGGAGAATCTTATTTTTAGGATCATCCTGCTTCTACAGCATCCTAATAAAGATCACCTACAAAGATAGTTAGTACCCTATTTTTATTGATTACTCTCGAAAAATTAGCCATAAACAAGCTAAAACAGTATCTGAGAATTATCCATTTCTGAGCTAACAAAGCATGCAAAAAGAAGTGTCAGAACTATTCCAAAATGAAAATAATTTATGACAACATACTACATGCACAAATAACACCCGGTAATCGAAGATGCTCACTCAACTTCCTCATTAATGATGTTATGAAAGAATATTTAATAAATGACCTCTCACACTCTTACCAAGACATTTAATGTCTTAAAAGAAGAACCGGCCGCAAGAACATTAATGAAGACTTAAAATGCAATAAGGTAATGTTCTATTACCTTAAAAAGGATCTCTTATAGATCCCACCAGTTAAATTTATTTGCTACATCAGATGACACAAAGACATTTCGAATAAACTAATCTATTTACTCAACTGGAACACAAAATGCAATAAGGTAATAGTTTTTACCTTAATAGGATTTTTTATCCTACCAGTTAAATATTTGGTTTAGTTTATTCACACTAGTTGGGCCAATCACAAGAAATACTTGTATCAAATAAATTATACCGGCAAAGTCAAAATGCAATAAAGTAAACTCTACCTTGAATGGGATATTTAAATCCTACCGGTATAATTTCATTTATGTACAAATATTTCATGTCACATTTTTCCCGGAAAATCATATACATGATTGAAGAAAAGCTTGATCGGCATTTAATGCCAAATACGTACTGGGGGCGGAGCATGGGACGCACACTGAAGATGCTCTCAGCAGAGCAAAATTATTGAAGACAAGAGAATCACCGCATTAAAAGCTCCAGCACAAGAAGACGAATGTACAAGTCGTCCGTGTCAAACTTCAACGAACATGATTAATCCATCCTAACCCACGGATGAGATTAATCAACTGGAGAAGCCTATACATATAGGCTGAAACGAAAGTTTCAAAACAAGCTTGAGCATCCTAAGTAGAGATATACTTCTATTGAGCATTCACGAAATATCTAGCAAAAGAGAAAGTGCTATTCTATACACTACTCTCTGCTTAGACTCTTGCTCTAAACTTCTTAGTATCAAGTGTTCATTGTTAAATCCTAGAAGTTTAGTTCCTAGTTGGAGGTTAGAACTTTCTTGTAAACCCATCAGATATTGTGGTAAACACTTCAGGAGGACAGTTGTTCCCGGCCTGAGTGTGGTTAGATAGGTCAGGAGTACCTTTTGATCCCCACAGGATCAATTGAGTAGCTTGGAGTGGTGTTGTACTCCTCGTGAAACACCTTCAATCTAGGCCAGAGTTGTCAAGGCTAGATTGGCACTAAGTGTAAGGCTTAATACATTAGTGAAATCCATTTGAAATAAGATGGGACTGGATGTAGGAGGATTACACCACCTCAGAACCAGGATATACTGTGTGTTGATTTTTTTTCAGTCAACAAAGCACACACTGAAAACTTCTCATAAAAGATTGTAGTTTTCCAGCAGCATCCTAAGCAGTAGTCTTAATTTGACCCTACTTCTTATCCTACTGCTTAATAACTCACTTTCTTTGAGATACAAGAGCTTTACAATATCACAACTATGAGGTCTGTTCCATTAGATTTCAGCATATCACAACTCACGCAAAATTGTTTCATTTAAACATCTCAACTTCACCAGACCTTCACAACTCTATCTCCAAGAAGTGTTTTCAAACTGATCCCTGTAATTCAAACTGGTAACCCAATAGGTGGCTCAGCAGTTCCCTCACTATCACCCAACTGTCGAAGACCACTGCTCCAGTAAAACTCTCACTTACTTGGACTAATTCACATCTTCAGAAAGCCCACATCATCCTGAGCAAATCAATCTTTCCATACCTTCACTTTTACTTAAGCAGGTGCCTCAACAGTTCTCTGGTTACCACCCAACTGCTGAGACCACTGCTCTCATTAAGGTTGATTGTCAATCTACCTTGTTATATCATTAGAAAGCGCTTCCCACTCTAAGAAAGATTCTGAGTGCACTGTCATCATACACTGAGTATTTCGCTAGCAGTTGCCTCAACAGTTCCCTGCTTTCTAGCCAACTGCCAAGCCAACTGCTCACCTTATAAAGCCCAAACTTCATCCATCAAAGAAAGTGTTATACACTATTTATCTAAGAGGTTAAAGACTTCCGTTGTGCATCTATAAATGTCTCAAAAGATTATAGATCAACTCTTTAGAGGGAGAAACGTGTTACAGTTGAAAAAGCTTTAAAAGTCTATTCACCCCCCCCCCCCCCCCCCTCTAGACTTTTACCTCTATCCGGGACCATCAACTGAAATACATAATAAAACTTATTTATAAAAACGTGACTAATAGTTACGATAATATAGTGTTGTGTCATTTAAGTGTAAAAATTGAATTACAACTATAGTGCGTACTAATACACATAAGATGTTACATTTTTGTAAATTATGTTTATTTTAGTTATAATTATGTAATTATTTCATAAAAATTCAAATTTGATCTTGTTGAGAGAGACAATGATTTATTACAATTTTATGTTTTTCCTTTTTCATTTTTACCAAGCTCAAATAGCAATTTTTAATATAAACAACAAAATTTTACAGGGTACACATTTTATTACCAATTAGTGAGATACATGTACTACAGCAATTATAGGAGATAAAATAATACAGAATGAGTTATAAAGTAGTCATTTTTAATGATGGAGTGGAATACCATTCCATTAACCATTTAGAATGATAATTAATGGCATTAATACTTGATACACCAAATCCAAAAATTGCATATAATTAGGGGACTCAGAAGTATCACTTTAACAAGTTTATTAATTCAATCTTCCCGGTAAAATGGGCTTTTAACTATGTCATTTTCTTCTCATTATTACGCCATCCCAAAAATATTATCTCTAGACATTGTGGCACTAGTATTTTTGGGAAAAACATATATAATCATCTTGATTATATTATAAGTTGGCAAAAAGGACAAAGAGTAAACCTAATTCTGAGTGTAGAACTTGATTTGGAGAATAAGATGTTCTGGAGTAGGAATAGATCTCGAACCCCATGTAAAGGAAGAATAAACTTTCCAAATCTGCCAGGTAATGATTCCAGACATATTATGTTTAAAAATGTCTGGCAATGTTTTTGAACCACCTTCAAGCCACCAAAGAATCAATACCTGTCTAATCGATTGATTTGTAGGAGAATTAATCTCAAAGATACCCATAAAGTAGTATAAGGACAGCCAAAAAATATACGGTCAATGGTTTCACAGTTACTCCTACACAAAGGACATCTTGAAGGAAGAATAGTTATATGAAATCTTTGCAGATTTTCACACATAGGAAGACAGGCATTCAAAAGTTTCCATACAAATAGCTTGACTTGCATGGGTTGATATTTGTGCCAAATGTGCTTGTCACAGAAAGTAACTGATCTGCTATCTCTTATTTCATTATATGCAGAAGCTAATGAAAAGATGTCATGAATACCTGGATCCCATTGGATAATATTTGCAGTGTTATATGAGCAGAGGTCAGTTCTATCATGAACTTCACAAATTCTTCTCCAAACACTAGAGTCACCAATTTTATGATTCATATCCTCCCCTCTAGGATACCTATCTTTAATAAATTCACACCGGAGTGACTTATGACTTTTCCATCTCCACCAAAGTTTTAGAGAAAAAGATTTTTCAACATCAACAAGACTTCTAATCCCTAGACCACCCTCATCAGTAGGAAAACACAGTCTTGACCATCTTTTCCAATGATCTTTAGAAATGAACCCCAAAAAAAGGATGCCATTTTCTTCTCCAAAGTAGAGATGACTTTTTTGGGAAGCTTATCAATAGCTAGAATGTGATTAGGAATGGTGCTGAGTACATACCTAATCAGAACAAGTCTTCCTCCTTGGGAGAGGTTTTTCTGTTTCCAAGAGGAGAGCTTGGAGTCAAAATGATTGATAAGCTGTGTACAATACTGAAATCTGTTTCTTCCTTTGTGCAGGTTGGTTCCTAAGTACTTCAATGGAAGAGAAGATTTCCTCATCCCCAAGATATTATGAATTACAGAACTCCTGTAAGTAGCTCCTTTCCCAGTAATAAAGCTACTCTTCTCCAAATTGACTGTTTGACCTGAAGCTGCTTGGTAATCACTAACAAACTTGTTGAAGTTAGAAAGAGACCTTGAGTCACCATTAATAAAAACCAATAAATCATCTACAAAGCCCAAATGACTTATAACATACCCTTTACCACCTAACCAGTAAGGTTTAATGATACCCTGATACATTCTAGCTTTAAGACTTCTAGAAAAACCTTCAAAAGCAATAATAAAAAGAAAGGGGGAAATAGGATCACCCTGTTTGACACCCTTTTTAGGCTGGAAGAAACCCCGAGGGCTCCCATTTATCAAAATGGAGAAATGAGTAGCCTGTAGGTTGTTTCTAATAAGAGAGATGAACTGATTAGAGAACCCAAATCTGGCCAAAACCTCAAACAAGTAAATTGATTTTGTGTGGTTTGAACAGGTTGGGCTCTTACCTAAGGCTGTGAAAAATAGCTATTATGCTCATCTGTTTGGATTTCCTACTTTTCATATTTAATTTCGTGTTCTTTTGTTCTTTAATTTATTATTCATGTATTTTTAGAGTTATGCTTCTATTGAGAGGTTTTGGTTTGGTCTCCCTCTCTTTTATACTGGCCCCTGTTTTTTTTAATAAAATACCGGCATGCGACCCCCGGCGCCTGCCCCACTGATTTTGGTGGTTTGCCTTCCGGGGTAAAAAAAAGTTGGCAAAAAGGATCAGATATTTTATTGTATGCTTTTTGAATCATTTTAACAATGAAACATTAAAAATGAGGAGTACTTTGGTAGAGTCTATGGGTTGAGTAATCATCATCTTGTTTGGGTCATAAAAGTCTTCTATACCACGAAAGACTAGCTCACTCAACTAAAGGAAACAAATCCACTACATAGAACCTCTCTATTTCTCGCTCATTTTTATCACTCTTTGTTTTATGTGTCGATACACTTTTGAAATTTGAATATACAAACTTATATATGTTTATAACACAGAAACCAAAGATGATTTCTCCGTCAGAGTTACTCAAATTGATGGCTTAGTATGAAGCTGTTTTTTTAGTGTTACACTCATTGTTGAAATATAACAAATCCCTCTTCCTCTAGCCTCCGTTGAACATTAGATAATCATACTTTAATTTGTTATTTTCTTGCAGAGGTTGAGCTTCTTGGAAGTTCAATGGCTTCCCATTACTATCAACAAGGATAAAGCTTGAAGGTATACATTTTGCCGATGGAATAAGAATGCATATATTGGATTGTCAAAATTGAGCTATTTAGTTGAAAACGATGACAAAATGATTCTCAAACACTAAGGGACAACAACACCCACTGCTCAACACCTTCCTCACCACCATAATCTGCTTCATCATCTATTTGTTCAACATCAACATCGTTTTTTTTTTGTTTTTTTAGGAATGGTTTGTGAATCTTTTGAACTCCTTTGTTTGATCACTTTTGGTTTGAAATAATAAATTAGATTTTCTTAAAAAATGACATCACTTTTTAGAATAGTTTTCTTCAATTTCAGGTACCATAATTATACGTGAACTCTTGATTTTCTTATCCAATAAAGATGCACGGGGGAGGATTTGAGATCAATAATCTTACTCATTTCATTAGATATATATTTATGCAAATGTCTTTCACCTTTTAAGATCATATCCTTCTAGAACTTCAAATTCTTAAGAGATGAGAGTGATACATTATGAGATAACGAATTGTGAGCACAACTTCTCCTCGGAATGGCTTCGACCGTTTAACCTTACTTAGCATGCACCAATTTTCTAAAAAATAGTACGGTTCATTCTCTCTTTTATACCATTGTGTTGTGGCGTTCACGGCTCAATCTTCTCATGTTTGATCCCGTACAAAACATAATGTGCTAAAACTTCTCGAAAGTGCACTCACATATATTCTCGCATGCCTCCCTTTCTACCATGACATTAAATGTTTTGAAATAGACAAACACTTAATCTTTCACTTTGATACAATAATGGAAAACTTTTAGGGTTTGTTTACTAACAGAAATATTTTCTGTTTTTCCAAAAAATTGGAAAACTGGAGATTGAAAAATCAGAAAACCTGTTTACCTACCCGTTTTCAAAATCAAATAAATGAAACATGTCTCGACTTTTTACTCGTGAAACGGAGAACGGCCTTAGAGGTGTTTTCGCATTTTAGAAAACCCCCTGCTGCAGTAAATTGTATTTACTCGCTCATCTTCTTCCGTCTACCAGCCTTTACTCGCTCGCATTAACTATGCTTCAACGCCCTACCTTTCTCCACCTACGCTCTTTACTTCTTCTCCAAACAGCTGCACCGCTTCCCTAGCTATTAAAGTCGAAGGAAAGCTTTGTCAAACAACACAATCTTCACGGAGGAAGAACACAAGCTGCACCGCTCTTTACAATTCGTAGATGCGTTCAAGTGAAGACCCGGAAAGCATCGCTGCAAGGAGCCCTGAACATCACGGAATCTCCCCAATCTTCAGTCGGCTCGTGTTCTGTCAACGACTTAAAGGTAAGCTCTTAAATTAAATGGAATTTTCACTTTACCTTGTTCAAATTTCGAATTTGATTGAATTCCTGAAATTCGTGAAATTTGACTTTGGATATTATACTTGTGAATTTCATTCTTAGGGTTTTTTCGTTGTTTATCAATGGATGCCTTAGTATGTACTTATTTTCCTGGGAAATCAACTTTGGTAAAGGACGTACTCCCTCCGTCCCGCTAGAAGGTTCCCGTGAACGGTTTACGATGCTTGACTGACGATAAAGCAACTTAATCCCTGCTCACACTCTGATTATTTTTAGTAAATAAAACTAACATATTCATAAACTACATTAAAACTACTACAAAGTCTGATAAAAAAATGTAAATTTGATAAAAATCTGATTTATAAAGTAAAGGATTAAAAATGATTTAGGTTGACCATGAGAATAGTGGACGGGAATCTTCTAATGGGACGGAGGTAGTAATTTTTTAAAGGCAGTTTTTTATCTGCCATAAGGTAGTACAGTTAGATAAAAAATGCACTGTCCTTCCTTCTCAACAATTATCATATATTGGTAAAGGCAGATTTTTATCTTTGGTTTTTAATTTTATTTAGAACTCTATAAATGAGTAAAGGACATAATTTTTTACTTCAAGAGTTCTTGATTCCATGAACATATTACTACCTTTTTTTACATCAACAGTTTATTTTACAATAAGCCACCAGGACTTGATTCCATTATACCTGATGGCATATTACTACTTTTGTAAACTTTTGTAAGAATAAACAATGCGGAAATCAATTTCCAAAAGAAAATGAATAGAAAAAATCCTCAATGGGGAACCAAAGTTGATGGGCCTGAAGGAATTGCTCCAGGTCATGTTTTTTTTCAGGTTCTCCTTGCATGTATATAAAACTTGTGGTGCAGCAGCAGTAGGTCGAATGATTGAAATAGTGTTTTCAAATTTTTTAGTTACTGACTTGCTGCGTTTAGTAGTCGTAAACTTGATAAGAAATTATGACTAGTAGTAAAATACTAAAATGAGTGAGAATATAATGACTGGACGTTCATTTTATTCAACTGGCAGTACTTCTCAAAATCTGTTTGTTTTTAAATTTTTTGATTTGTTCAACTTCATTTTCAGTGGAAACATATTAAATGATGGTGAACTTATGTTGTTAGCACATTGCAATTTCGCTACAATTTTGTGGTAGATGAGTTTAACTAAGAAGAAAAGGAAGATGTCATATGACCCGATGAAAAAGAGACTTTGTTTTTTACTGTGCTAAATGAAAGGGTAAAAAAAGACCCAACTGGGAACCCAATATTTAAGGATCGAGACTGGAATGATATGGATAATGAAATGTTGATCCGAGGTCATTATCAGTATGGTAGTGACGGGCTACGGGGAAAGTACAATAGGTTGAAGCTCATTCACAGACAATTTGGTCAGTTATTGGCTCATACTGGAGTTACATATGATTCCGGTCAGAATGTTGTTTATGCCACAGAGGAATGTTGGCAAAAATTTTACAAGGTACATGTTTTATTTAATGGTTTTATCTTTTTGAATCATATTTTGTTAAGCTCTTTAATTTACACATGTGTGCTACAAATATGCAGTTGAACAGGGGCTTTAAGACCTTTAAAAGGAAGGGTTGCAAGAACTATTCGTTAATGAATCTTGTTTTTGGACAAGGGAGTGCAAGTGGAGGACTTGCTACTCCTTCAACGCAAGTACTGACACTATTAGATGAGGAAAGAAGGAATGAGGATGTATTTGTAATGGTGAGGGGGGCATGAGCTCTGAGAGGTCACACTCAAAAGGGAAACGCAAAGTTGATGAAGTAACGGGATCCCGCACTAAGGACTGGAAGAGTGTTTTGGCTAATGTGGTCCATGCATACACGACAACAATGAGTGAAAAAGAAAAAAGGCATCGTACTCGAGATGAAGATGTTAGCATCACATCTACAGGTGCAGCTGGAAACTTTTCTATGACCCGATGTGTTGAAGTCATAAATGCTATGTCGAATGTGTCAACCCGTGCTTATAATGACTCCATCGATGCACTTACTGATATTGTCTGACATGAGGCCTTTATGGCTATGCCCGCAGACCGACAATTGGATTGGGTTTTCAGATTTGATTCTAACTAGTTGAACTGTGTGTGGTTTTGCTACTCTATGTTTTATGTTAAATGTATTTGCACTTGAACACTTTGTTAGAACGATATCTCTATGTATTGTTTTTCAAATTATTGAAAGTCTTTATTACGTATTATGTCATTTTGCATTTTTCTCGCACTTGAAGCATGAATGATATACTCTATTGCAGATAGACAATGTCCCATAATGGCAGTGGTGATGATATTTCAGACTCTACAAGTGACGAGGATGATGAGTTCGGGGCCCTACTATTAATGGCTACATGCGTTCTAGTTGATGTCGAAAGAATTCCATGTCGAACGTCTATACTGACAGGTAACGCTTATATCGACGAATTAATGACAGGTCATCCACAAAGATGCTATGAGAGTTTTAGGATGAACCCACATATATTCCTATGATTATGTGAAAGACTTAAGAATTTGGATTCTCTACTCGATTCAAGATATTTAAGAGCTGAAGAACAATTAGGAATAGGTCTTTTAGTGTTATGCCAAGGTGCGGGTCAACATACATGTGCAAAGCGTTTCCATCACTCAATGTGAACTATTCACTTATGTGTGAAACATGTGGTAAGAGCAATTGCACGATTGGGCAATGAAGTTATAAAGTCGGTTAATAGGGGCCCAGTTCAACCAGAAATTTTAGAAGAGCGGAAATGGTATCCTTATTTTGAGGTATGTGTAAGCCTAATTACCTTTTTCAATACTTAGGGTAACTCATACTATTAATGGTGTACAAATTTTGTAGAAATGTGTATGTGCCATTTATGGTACTCATGTAGCATCCTCAGCACCCGCTTCCAAACAAAAGACATTTCGCGGTAGACATTCAATGGTGACTCAAAATGTCATGGCAACTTGTAGTCATGAAATGTTGTTTACGTATGTATATGTAGGTTGGGAGGGAACATGCAATGACTCGCGAGTATTTTTAGATGCAATTACAAGAAGCGAAAATGGGTTGTCCATGCCTCCTATCGGTAATACAATAATTATGCAATTTGTGTTAATCAAGTGACTATTTTACAAAAATTGGTTCCCATTGCAGTTGTTATTGACTTCATTACAGGTTATTACTATGTTGTTGATGTCGGCTATCCAAATGTTCCTGGTTTTTTAGCTCCATACCGTGGAGAGAGTTATCACTTAAATGATTTTCGAGGTCGAGGACGAATACGCAACAAGCAAGCTTTATTTAACTACCGACACTCGTCCTTGCGTAATGTGATCGAGAGGTATTTCGGAGTACTAAAGGAAAGATTTCTCATTCTAGACATATCACGTGGTTACCCATTGAGAAGACAGATTCAAATTCCCATTGCTTGTTGCGCATTGGATAACTTTATTCGCATGCAAGATAGGAACGACCATTTGTTCTTGGAGTATGAGGAAGAGGATATGATATTTAACACAGAAGCAAGTACAAATTAAAATGGATCACTCCAATTTGATATGTCTCAACAACAACAAATGCACGAAATTCAAGAGAGTATTGCAAATGCAATATGGGATGATTATAATGTATGACATGTCGAAGTACGATTGTTGTTCTGATTAACATAATGTCACTTATTGAACATTCAGGGTTGGGGAAGATTTATGTTAATTTTTTGTGTTATCCCAAATGTTTGTAATTGTGCATTTCTTTTCCAAATATTAAGTCAACATTTTCTGGTAAAAATGAAATGGAAAATTGAAAAACTCTGGTAAACATGTTTTCTGATTTGGAAAACAAAAACCTGGAAAACGAAAACAGAAAACTGGAGACTTGAAAACAGAAAATGAAAATAGAAAAATATTTCTGTTAGTAAACAGACCCTTAGTGATTCGTCATTGAACAATATCATGAAAAATCAATTTCAACCAAGAGATTTTCCTTATGTATATAGGCCCACACATGTCAAAAGTGGACAAAGATCAATAACTCAAAATGATTCTTTAAGAAACTTTATATCGTTAGTCGCATAGAAAGTGCCCATAAGTTAGGTGACACATTTTATTAAAGAGTCTAATCACCCATACAGCCTCTACAAATTATCATAGCATCTTTTGCATGCTTCTTAGCATTGTTCTAAAATGTACTCATGGAGCATATGGTCTTGTACCCCCTATAGCCCACATACTCTTGCAACATAAGGCCCTGCACATAACACCTCGGCATGCCCCCGATCAACCAAGATGCCAACTGGAAGGACCCCTTGGTCAAATGTTGCACCCCCCAAGCAACGTTGCAACTAAAAAACAAGGAAAAACACTAACCTCAATCGAACTCCAACGGTCTAAGGGTTGATAAAAGTAAGCTCTCGGTGGAACCACAACTTGGTCTCCTCGGTCTTGAACAGAGGGGCTTCAAGCTCTCATCCTTGAGCAGATAAGGCAGAAAACCAAGGCCATGAGAGGAACATCACCTCGTCTGGCCTGCATCCCCTATGTCAAGCAACAATTTGGTTACAGAACCTCCGTCGAGCCCTCAACCAAACCGCTACAGCAGGCTCACGTCAGTCAAAACTGGCGGTTACCCCTATTGGACTCTTCTTCAAGCCCATGTAACCTTTCGCCCCTCACCTCCAGCTATTTGGTTTGGCAAACTCGGGTCACCCGTCGATGATGCATCAACTCAGCTCCCGCTCCCACCCTCCCTTGCGATGACTAAAAGCGGCGGCCGATGACATCTCAAGCCGCCAAGCGGCCCAAGCCGGCCTCATATAATTCCCATTTCTATTTCTCTAGTAATCATTCCAAGTCTCTGCGGCGCAAGAAAGGAATCAAATGTCGAAGGCCCCTCCTTTTTTATCTAGGCATCAAGAATGTTTTTTCTGGTGAATTTTGAGTTAGTAAAAAATAACGGATAGTTCAAATCTTGCTTGGAAAAAACTCAAAGTGGTCGAGCTCCTTATTTGAAAGCTAAGTAGTAAGTCCAAACTCCTCAACTTATCCATCGTTTACTCTATCAAAAAAAATATAACAAATCAAACGCACCCGGGATCACCTACGGACCACAAACAACACCAAACGTCAGGCCAAGGGCAGAACGGAGCGTTGGCTACTCCATGGGGGCATCCGTTCAAATGCCTTAGCTAGAGAAGTCAATGTTGCTTCCATAAAGCTGTCACCTCGATAATGCATCGTACCAGCCAAGTGCCCGACCGACGGACAGCCCTAGCACTGGCTACACCATCCAGGCACCAAGTAGCCTTAGTTTGTCGTCCACATCTAAGCGCGTGTACAAGCGTCGCACAGTCAACCTGTAAGTAGCAAGCCCTAACTTCAACCAGAAGATTGTAGGGCCCCCGGCGGGGTCAGTACAACTTGTACTGGCGAGAAGTAGGTGATGGAGTTAAGGGACTATGCCCATAGCCTAATCGACCCAAGCCCCGCACTTGGACCCATGAATCAAAGCCCAATACTTGAGCTAGAAGGCCCAAACCCAAGTTTGGGGTCTGCCTACCAGAGCCCAGTCAAGAGCCAGCCAAGAAGAGTAACAATCAAGCAATTAATGAACTGTTTAATTATGTATTTAATTCCGTATTAATGTTGTAATTAATTAGTTATTATTATTGATAGCGGTTACGATCTATAAACATCTATAAAAGGCAAGTCGAATTCCAAATGAAGAGATGTTATTTCTGGCAACTAAACCTCTTTAGCAACTTTTCATTTCCTTACTACTTTCCTAATTCCTGCTTCAGTGTCTAATGTAGTTTTACTAAAAGCCATATTTGGAATCAAAATCGGTGTTTTCATTGAGAGTATCTATTGTCTCTCATGTCACTTTAGTAGGGAATAATCAAGAAATTTCAGAAAATATGGGCAAAGATCGAAAGTTTATACTCCTCCGTCCCAATTTGATGGTCTCATTTCTTTTGGGCACAAGTTTTAATAAAGTGATTGAAAAGGTAAAAATTATGACTGAGATTTGAGTATAATAAAATGAAATTATATGGACCACGTCCAAAAAAGGGAAAGAGGACGTCATTTTGTCATCTTGGGACATCCTGAAAGGAACATCCCGAAAAAAGGAAATACAAATACAGAACATCTGTGGGAGACGGAGGTCAGGGGCGGATCCAGGAAAGTCATTTGGGGGGGGGGGCGAAAATATTTTTGGGGGGTTCAAAATACTTTTTGGAAGAGCAAAAATTATTTTTCGTATATATATACACTAAAAAAAATTGTTGGGGGGCGGTAGCCCCGGGTCTCTACTACGGTCCGCCCCTGACGGAGGTAGTAGTTTATACAGGTTTTCCAGGACTGTAATTCAAAATCTGGAAAAAGAATGAAAAATCTGGCCGTGGAAGAAAAGAATCTATTCAATCTGGAATTTTAGACCAGAACGAACGGTCGCCGGAGCAATCGTCCTCGTTGCTGTGGACCCGCTGGCAAAGTTGGCTGCACCCGCAAAAGCGCTGCTAGCACAGCGCCAACCGCAACCCTGAATCTTGTCATCGTGGCAGTGGCGGACCCACTAAGAGTCCCACGGGGTCCCGGGACCCCGTGTCCTTCCAAAAAATAACTATATATACTGTATATATTTCATTCAAAACTGACTCATTAATGTATAGATATACCAAATACTACAATGATACCAATGGAGCGGCTTAGGGTAGTGGTAGAAAGTTCCCACATAGAAACTTGACATATTTGTCCTTCTTTTTAGTGAGCACCACTATTTCAAACTCGATCAACACTATGTTAATTTCTGATTAAACTCATATATTCATATCTATAAAATGTGAAAGACGGTTAGAATATTTTTTAATTGGACTGATTTTGGAAAAAGGCTAGACAAAAAATAAATAAAGTAGAACATATTCCATTAGTTTAGATTTTAACAGATTAGGTCAAATCAGATCAAATTTAGATAATACGTAGTAGTAAAATATACACTCACTAGACGTTAACCAGCTCAGGATAAATTAGGTCATACCAAAAATTTTTAAAAAACAAAATTTTACATATGCGATATTAGTGTCATATGAAATATTAAAATCGTTTTTAGTAGTTTGATATTTTTTTGGGAAAAATGTGCAAATAAGCCCTCGAATTAACCGAAAGAGTGCAAATCACCCCATTTATAGGAGGCTCCGTCTGGCCATCACAATTTGGGGCGGTTACTCATGGCATTTTTTCATGATTTTTTTGAGAATCTTCTGCTCAACAAATTTCATCAAAAAATTCCACCGGGAATCACGTCAAATGGCGACGGCCGGACAGAGCCCCCAATAAAATTGGTGATTTGCACTTTTTCAGTTAGTTCGAGGGCTTATTTACCCCTTTTCCCTTCTTTTTTTGGAAAATTCGAACACAAATGAAGGAATTATAACATTTTATAAATTAAAGGTACATTAGAGTAGGGACCCCGTGACTCCATTTTTCTAGGTCCGCCACTGCATCCTGGTGCACCGCCGGTTGTATGTCCAGATCCAGGGAAGGCAACCTCCTCAAGTTATTCCCCTAGACCAGATCAGTATGGACATGAGAGCCCTCAAGTGCGGTGGTGGCCGGAGAAAACCAGACCCAGACGGACTAAGGTCTTGGTAGCTCGCTCCTCCGTCGTAGTCACGCCTCTGTCAAGTGTTGTTCGCAGTGGCTCTGCCACTTCACCAGTGGCCGGTCGCATTACATCTCTCCACCTCTGTCGGAGACTAGGAGCAGAGGCCTCACCGTAGGTAACCTCAGTGGCAATGAGTTTTTGGTGTGGTGCAGGCGTGCAGCCCTTGTAGATAGATGGCTCGCGTTGTCGATCCCCACCGATACTCACCAGACTTGGCTGTGGATGGTTCCATTTTCTGCCATGTACGGGAAAGGGGGAGATTGGTTGCCAAAATACGGGGATTTATCTAGGTTTTACCAAATAGGGGGAGTCGGAACACCCAATTCCGATTAGAAGAGGGTTTCAAAAAAAAAAAAGACCTACCCTCCAGTCGGATTAGTGAATTCCGACTATGGGTTTTTTTTTGTTTTTTTGGTAATTTTTTTATTTTAATTCGTAATTCGTAAATTTTTTTATTTTAAGTTTTAAAAACTAAAAGTTTTAAATTCTAGGGCTAAATTCTATCCATTCCAAATTTTAAAGTTTTTTAAGATTCATGACATATTTTTTAAAATGAAAACTTAGCATTTTCGTTTTTTGAGTAACAAAACATTTGATTGCTTTATTTTATTTTTTAATTTAAAGTTTTTAATTTCCAACTAAAGTTTTAAACTAAATTGGCCAATTTCATTCATGTTTAAATTTTTAAATTGGTCGAATTTCTCTTTTTTTAATTAGTCGCCAATTTAATTTTTAAATTGGCGTAAAGTTATAGTTTTTAATTTTATTTTTTTAAATGCATTTGTATTGTGAATAAAATTCATAAAATGAGATACAAATTTGAATTTGTTTTAAATGCGATTTGTAAATTTAATGAAAGTGAACAAAACAAATGTAGGTTTCAATGTAATTTATTAATAAATAGATAGTACATACAATAATATAAATTT